GAGCCTGACCCTGAGCCACTGAGCCGGACCCTGAGCCGTGGGAGCAGCTGAGTCTGACTCGGAGGGCGGGCGTGGGAGTGCGCACCGGCCTCGGCCTTTGTCCTTTCGGCATCTGGTCCTCCCTTGCAGGGATGGGTGTTCCACACAGCACCTCGGACCCCGTCCAGCCCAGCCCTCCCGGCCACCACAGGCCGGCTCGCCTAGACCTGCTATGGAAGTTGAAAATCTATGTCTACATTAAATCTTTCTTAAGAGGTATTTTTATTGACTTCAGAGAGAGGGAGAGACATCAGTGGTGAGGGAGAATCATGGATCGGCCGCCTCCCGCACGCCCCCAACTAGGGATGGAGGCACAACCTGGGCCTGTGCCCGACCGGAACTCAAACTGTGACCTCCTGGTTCACAGGTCGACGCTCAGCCACGGAGCCACCCGGCCGGGCTGTTTCCACATTAAATTTAAAAGCGACACCTCGGGCGCGGAGTGCGCCCGCCTGCCCTCTGACATGGCGTCAGCGTGAGCTTCCCCCGCCCGCCCGCCACTGACCGGGAGCGGGAGGAAGAGATGACTCACGCAGCTTAGCGTGTCTCCCCGTGGCCCGATGGCTGTGCCAGGGGCCATGGCATCCCCAGCGCGCCCCTCCCCCAGGGGCCACGGCGTCAGTCCCAGCCCCACCCGAGGCGCTGCCTCCTCCCTGGACGGGAAGGCCCTCCCCTCAGACGGGCGCCTGTGAGACCGGAGCTCCCGGCCACGGGCACAGCGTCACGCCCGTCAGGCCACACCACCGGCCCGGAGCCACTGCTGCAAGCTCACCACATCAGTTAGGTCTCTGTCTGTTCCGATTCTTTTTAAATATATTTTATTGATTTTTTTACAGAGAAGAAAGGAGAAGGATAGAGAGTTAGAAACATCGATGAGAGAGAATCATCGACCAGCTGCCTCCTGCACACCCTCAACTAGGGATGTGCCCACAACCAAGACACATGCCCTTGACCGGAATCAAACCCCGGATCCTTCAGTCCGCAGGCTGCGCACTATCCACTGAGCCAGACCTGCCAGAGCTGTTTGGATTTTTGTTTTTTAAATATATTTTATTGATTTTTTACAGATAAGAAGGGAGAGAGATAGAGAGTTAGAAACATTGATGAGAGAGAGTCATCGACCAACTGCCTCTTGCACACCCCCTACTGGGGATGTGCCCGCAACCAAGGTACATGCCCTTGACTGGAATTGAACCCGGGACCCTTCAGTCCCCAAGCCGACGCTCTATCCATTGAGCCAAACCAGTTTTGGCTGTTCGGATTTTTAAAACCCGGACTGCTTTAAAGAACCAGCTTCGCTTTAGCCCAGGGCTACGCTGGGCCCATGCCTTCACAGGCCACAGGTTTGGTTTGCACACGTGTGCCCACCGCCCCATGGGACCAAAATGGCAAAGGCTGGCTCCCAACGCCCTGATTTTCGAGGGGGATTTCCCTCTCGGTCCCACTCAGGCCCGTGGCTCCCCCACGCCGGTGTCTCTGGAGGGAGCTGTGTGTGTGTTCCCGCTGGGTCTGGTGGGCGGTGGGCGGTGCGGCGGCACAGGGGGCGGGGGTGTGGCTGACGTCCCTGTCCCCGCCCTGACCCCGCAGCGAGCCCGCCCCTGGGGCCCGGCGGCCCCTGCGTGGACGGGGCCCCGGCGCTGCCCGCGGAGGCCGAGGAGACGGTGTCGGTGAGCAGCTGCCTGGCGTCGGAGGACACGACGGAGGACTCGGGCGTGATGAGCTCGCCCTCGGACATCGTGTCCCTGGACTCCCAGCACGGCAGCACCAAGTCCCCGGACAAGTGGGCCACGGACCCCGAGGACGGCAGCGACCAGGACCTGGGGGCGCCCCCGGAGCCAGGCCCGCCCGGGAGCCCCGCGAGGGAGGGAGACGGCCCCAGGCACTGGCCCTCCCGGTAAGTGGGGGGGTGGATGGGGGAGGGAGGGCACCCCCAGTCTCAGGGGAGACGTCATTGCCCACAGGCACCCAGCAGAGGCTCCCACCCCAGGGCCCCTCCTGGTCCACAGCCACGTCTGCACCTCTCCACCCGGGCCTGTGTCCCTGACCGTGCAGAGCGATGTCTTGATAGTTTATGCCCATTTTAAACACTGTCTTACTTTATTTATTTTTTAAAATATATTTTATTGATTTTTTACAGAGAGGAAGGGAGAGGGTTAGAGAGCTAGAAACATCGATGAGAGAGAAACATCGGTCAGCTGCCTCTTGCATACCCCCTACTGGGGATGTGCCTGCAACCAATGTACCTGCCCTTGACCAGAATCGAACTTGGGACCTTTCAGTCCACAGGCCAATGCTCTATCCACTGAGCAAAACTGTTTTCAGCTAAACACTGTCTTTCTTTTAAATGAGATATATATATTAGAGGCCCATTGCGTGATATTTGTGCAAGAATAGGCTTTCCTTCCCCTGGCTTCGCTCCCGGCTGCCTGGGAGCTGGCAGGTCCTCCCTCGCTCCCGACAGGAGCACCACCTCCACCCCCTCTTTCCCCCTCACAGCAGGCATCCTGCCCGGCCAGTAGCTCCCCACCTGCACATGCAAATTAACCATCCATCTTTGTTGGGTTAATTTGCATACTCATTCCTGATTTGCTGTGGGCGTAGCGGAGGTACAGCCAATTTACATGTTTGTCTATTACTGAGATTATTGATATCAGGGAGGAAGGGAGAGGGAGAGAGAAACATCAATGATGGGAATTGTGGATTGGCTGCCTCCCAAATGCACCGCCCTAGGGATGGAGCCTGCAACCCAGGCATGTGTCCTGACCGGGAATCGAACCCTGACCTCCTGGTTCATAGGTCAGTGCTCAACCGCTGAGCCACACTGTCCAGGCAACACTGTCATCCTCTTAGTGTTCGTTTCCCCTCAGCTTCCTGTGGGCAAGGTTTGTCCAAGATGATACGTGGTCAGTGCATGTGCTTTCCCGTTTTTTAACGAATGGACATGTAGGTTGTTGAAGTTCCCATGCTGGACATAGTGAGCGAGGTGTATGTGGGTCTGTGTGCACTTAGGGGGTTTTCTAGAAGAGAAATGATTGGACTCCCAGAAAAACTCATTTTTAAACACATGTTTATTGACTTCAGAGAGGAAGGGAGGGAGGGAAAGACATAGAAACATCCATGATGAGAGAGAATCATGGATGGGCTGCCTCCTGCACACCCCTCACTGTGGATGAAGCCCACAGCCAGGGCCTGTGCCCTGACTGGGAATCGAACCGTGACCTCCTGGTTCATAGGCTGACGCTCAACCACTGAGCCACAGGGGCCAGGTTGCCCCTCATTCTTGTTAGCAAGGGAGCGGTGAGCCCCATTGGGACACCTACCCTGTGCCCCTGCCTCAGGGTGGGCAGCTCCCTCTCCGGGCAGATGCCAGGAAGGCACTGCCGTTGTCCTGTGCCTTCCTGGCGGCCGCCATGCCCTCTCGGTGCCCACGCTCCCGGCAGTCACGCCCTGGGTGAGAAATGCCACTGGTGATGTTTGCTCAGCGTGTGCGGCCCGGAATCTGAGCGTCTGGGCGGTGTTTGTTCTGTATTGTCTTGGACTTCAGCCAGAACAGGCCTCAATAAGAACGTGTCTGAGGGCCGGGTGTGGCGGGGCTGGAGCCCAGAGCCGGCGACTGCAGGGCCGCTTTGGGCCGAGACGAGCCGGGCGCGTCCAGCCGGCCGTCAGCTCTCCTGGACTCGAACCCGGGCCCTGCCGCTTGTGTGGGCAGCCGGCCAGGGACAGAGCTTCCCTCCCGCGCCTTCCCGGGAGAGAGGGGGAGGCCAGAGGAGCCCTGGGAGCAGTGGCCGTGGTGGGAGCGAGAGGCTCCGTCCCTCCCTGAGACTCCTGTTGGGAAGCCGAGGGGATCCGTTCCCGCCGAGTCCAGGGCGTAGGCCGCAGCCCGCGGGGCCCCGGGGAGAGCAGCGGCGGATCAAGTCCCCCAGGCCCGGGGCGAGGGGCCGGCGACCCTCCCCTCCCCCGGCCGTGGGCCCTGCCGCTTTGGAAAGAACCCATCGCTCACTGGAGGGCGAAGGCTACTTAAACGCTGCCCGCCTAGAAAAGGGTCCTGTCCCTCCGGCTGCTCCGAGTCAGGACGCTCACCGCGCTAAACCCGGCGGCTCCCGGCGGCCTCAGCGGCTCTCGCGGTGGCCGTGACCGGCGGGCTGTCCCCGGGCCCCGGCCTGTGCTGCCTTCGGTCAGCGCACCGTCGTGGGGCACAGACGCCAGCCCTGGAACTGCAGGGAGAGGGTTGGGGCGCCCACCCCCCACCCCCTGCAGGTGAAAACCCCAGGGTGCCTTTAACTCCCGGGTGCCGGCGGTCTCCGTGTCTGCAGGGCTGCTGCGGAGGAGGCCCTGGGGCGGGAGCTGGTCCTGCTGCCGCTGCCGTCGGCCTCCCGGCCTCACGGCTCCGTATTTCCCGGCGAAGGGCCGGACCACGGCCTGTGGGTGGCAGAGGCTGTCCCTCCGCCCCTGCCCGGCGTGCTCGCTAAGCCACCAAGAAGCATGCAAAGGGCCCCACTGGGCCACAGGTCCCCGCGCCGGCCAGAGCCCACGGCCTCACCCGGAGGGAGCCGCCCGGCTGTGTGGGAGTCCTCCCCCTGGCCGCCAGGTGGCCTGGCTCCTCACCCCCCTCCCTGGCAGGTGCCAGGTGAGGCAAGCACGGAGCAGTTGGCACAGACCCGGGCATGCCAGCGTGTCTGTGACGGCGGACTTTGGGCGGCGGGGTGGGTGGGAGCAGGTGCGGCCAGGGAGCTGCTGACAACACTCTGGGGCCACACCCACACGGCACCCCACGCCCACACGGCACCCCAGCCCACACGGCACCCGGCCCATCTGCGTCGGAGCAGCTCCGAGGACCGCAGGGCGCAGGGATGGGGCAGCGGCCGGGTTTGAACGGAGCTGGGTCCTCGGATGTTTCCAGAAAGGATGTGTGCGATGAGAGTGGAGAGGAACGCGGTGTCCTTCTCTGTGCTCCGCCCTAGAGCCGAGAGAGCCGCGGCGGCCCCCGAGGCTGATGGGGGCCTGGCCTTCGCCGGGCAGTGGGAGCGGACCCTGGCCGGCCTGGACGAGGACCTGGAAGGTGAGAGTGGCCTGTGCGGACAGGGGATCCCGGCACTGGCTCTGAGGCAGCCTCTGAGCCCACGGCGATTCCTCCACCAGGGGGCGCCCGGGAGGAGGGCCCTTCAGCCAGCAAAGGCTGGACTCTAGCCTCCTGCTGAGGCTCCTGGTCCAGACAGGGCCCCTCTGGGTGCTGGGGGGGGGGGGGGGGGGGGGGGAAGGCTGTGACTGGCCACCCAGGAAGTGCAGTGACCCTGACATGCCAGTGACTGCAGTCAGCAGGAGCCCGGAGCGATCGCTGGCGCGGCTCCCGGGCCGGTACCGGGGCGCGGTGTCCCGGCGCGGGGTCCCGGGCGCTCGCGCGGGGTCCCTGGGCGGGCTCCGGGGCGCGGGGGTACATGGGCGCGGGGGTCTTGGGCGCGGCTGGGTCCGTGCGCGGCTTGGGTCCCGGGGTCTGGGGTGCTGGGGCGGGCTCCGGGCGCGGGCTCCGGGCGCGGGGCTCCTGGGCGTGGTGTCCTGGGGCGTGGTTCAGGTCGTGGGGGGTTCACGGTCGCGGGCTGGGTCCCGGCTCGGGCGAGGGTCCCGGGCGCGTGGTTTCCGGGGCGCGGGCTCCGGGGGCGCGGGTTGCCGGGGTGCGGGGTGCGGGGGGTTCTTGCGGGCGCGGGGGGTAGGGGGCGCGGGGGTTCGGGGCGCGGGGGTCCCGTGGCGGGGGTGGTCCCGGGCGCGGGGGTGGGGGTCCGGGCGCGGGGTCCGGGGCGCGGGGTCCGGGGCGCTTGGGGTTCCTGCTGGGCGGGGGGGTACTGGGCGGGGGGTCCTGGGCGGGCTCTACGGGAGCGGGGTCCTCGGGCGCGGGGTCCGGGCGCGGGGTCCTGGGAGCGGGGTTCCTGGGCGGGGGTCGGGGTCTGGGCGAGGGTCCTGGGGGGGGTTGGGGTGCTGGGTGCTGGGGGGTGTCCTGGCGCGGGGTCCCGGGCGCGGGGTCCGGGGCGCGGGGTCCTGGGCGCGGGTGGTTCCTGGGCGCGGGGTTTCCGGGCGCGGGGTACTGGGCGGAGGCTCCCCGGGCGCGGGGTCCCGGGCGCGGGTCCTGGGCGCGGGTCCCGGGCCGCGGGTCTCCGGGCCGCGGGGTCCTGGGGCGCGGGGTCCCGGGCGGGGCTCCGGCGCGGGGTCCCGGGCGGGCTTCCGGCGCGGGGTCCCTGGGCGCGGGTCCTGGGCGGTCGGGGTCCTGGGCGCGGGGTCCTGGCGCGGGGTCCCGGGCCAGGGGTGTCCCTGGGTGGGCTCCGGGCGGGCTCCGGGCGCGGGGTTGGTTCCTGGGCGGGCTCCGGGGCGGGTCCTGGGCGCGGGGTCCTGGGCAGCGGGGTCCTGGGCGGGCTCCGGGCGGGTGCGGGTCTGGCGCGGGGTCCTGGGCGCGGGGTCCTCGGCGGGCTCCGGGCGCGGGGTCCTGCGCGGGGTCCGGGCGCGGGTCCCGGCGGGCCTCTGGGCGCGGGGTCCCGGGCGGGGGCTCCGGGCCGGGGTCCTGGGCGGGCCTCGCGGGCGCCGGGGTACCTGGGGCGCGGGGGCCTCCTGGGCGCGGGTCCTCGCGGGCGTTCTCCGGGCGCGGGGTCCTGGGCGCGGGGTCCTGGGCCGGTCCTGGCTCGGGGTCCCTGGGCGCGGGGTCCTGGGCGGGGGGTCTGGGCGGGCTCCGGGCGCGGGGTCCTGGGCGGGGTCCTGGGGCGGGGGTTCCTGGGCGCGGGCGGGTCCTGGGCGGGCTCCGGGGCGGGGTCCTGGGCGGGGTCCGGGCGCGGGCTCCGGGCGCGGGGTCCCGGGCGGGCTCCGGGCGCGGGGTCCTGGGCGGGCTCCGGGCGCGGGGGAGCGGTGGTGACCCTGTGCCCGCTCCTGCAGGCATGGACGACAGCTATGAGACGGACAGCAGCTCCGTCACCGGCTCCCTCGGCAGCGCGTCCGGCCGCCGCCTGCGGGGCGCCCTCCCGGCCGGGGAGGCGGACCCCATCCCCGTGACCTTCATCGGGGAGGTCCTGGACGACCCCGAGGACCCGGGCCCGTCCTCCAACCGGAACAGCAACGCCGGGTCCTTCGACCGGGGTAGCGTGGTCGGCCGGGGGGCCTGCCCGCCGCCCGCCCCGGGGGAGGCCCCGCCGCGGGGCCCCCGGCCCGAGGGGCCCCCCGCCCCCGCCGCCCCCCGGGACCTGCGGAAGGAGGTCCGCGCGGCCTCTCCCGACCCCCGGAAAGAGGTGAACCCCGAGAGGGCGGAGCCCCCCGGGCAGGACCGCGGCGCCCAGGAGCCGGGGCCGGGGCCGGGGCCGGGGCCTTGGAGGGACGCCGAGGACAGGAGGGGCGTCCCGGCGCCCCCGTCCTGGTTCCAGCGGGGCCAGCACCCGGGCGGGAGCTTCGGGCTCAAGCACGGCCTCACCACGTACAAGATCGTGCCCCCGAGGTCCGACCGGCGCTGCTACGACCGCGGCGTGTCGCTGTCCACGGGCGCCATCGCCATCGACGAGCTGGGCAACCTGGTGGCTCCCCCCGGCGGCAGGGGCCGGACCGCGGCCGTGGCTCCTCAGAAGGACACGCAGCCGCCGGGCCACGGGCGGGCGCTGCCCGGGCCCGGCTCCCCCTCCACGGAGGAGCTCCCGGGCCGGCCCCCGGCCACCCCAGCCACGGCCACGGCCACGGCCACGGCCACGGTGCAGCGCCCAGCGGGCGACCTCAGGGCGGAGCCCGGGCCCCCGGCGCCCGCGGGGACGTCACCCCAGCAGCCGGCTGCCGGCCAAGGCCAAGGCCAAGGAGAGGGGCCGTGTCCCCAGCCCGGGGCCCGCCCGGCGCCGCCGGCCGCCGCTGGTCCCACGAAGGTCCTGTTCCTCAAGCCGCAGCGGAGGACGTCCAGCCAGTACGTGGCCTCGGCCATCGCCAAGCGCATGGCGCCCCCCAGAGCCCAGGCCAGTGCGCCGGGCAGGCCGGGCGGAGCCAGGAAGCCCTGGGAGGACGGACCGCCTCGCGCCCGGAGAGACGCCGCGGCCCCCGGCCCGCGCCCGGGGCCACATGCGTGCACAGAGGAGACGGAGGCCGGCGGGGGAGGGGGAGAGCTGGCAGAGCGGGCAGAGCCGGCAGAGCCGGCAGAGCCGGCGGCCGGAGCCCGGCCCCGGGGCCTGGGGATCAGCCCTCCCGGGGGGCCGTCCGCTCAGGACTGTGCTGCGGGCGCCCCCCGGGGGCCCGCCGTGCCCTTTGCCACCGCCGCCCGGAGGAACCCCGGGCCCGTGGGACCCGGCTGTGGTTCCGGTGGAAACCAGAACACCAGCTGCGCCTGGGCCCGCACCGGCCCGCCGGACGGCACCAGGAGCCCCCCGCCCTGCCCGGGGCGCGACCCGGCCCCCGGCTGGGCCCTGGCGAACGGCTCCCGGTGGGCCCCCGAGCACAGCGAGCCCCCCGCCTCCCCGAGGGCCGCCGGTGACAGCCCCCCCGAGGCCAGCCCCCCGGCCGAGCTGGAGGGGCGGCCCGGGGTGCTGTGCACGGAGATCCGGGGGGACGACCCCCCGTCCCCCAGCATCTTCGGGCCCAAGAAGAGGTTCCGGCCTGTGGTCCAGCGGCCGGCGCCCAAGGACACCTCCCTGCACAGCGCCCTCATGGAGGCCATCCACTCGGCCGGCGGCCGGGACCGGCTGCGCAAGGTGGGTGGCGGGCTGGGGGCACGGCCTCCCCTCTCCCTTTGGTCCTCTTTCCTCCCTCCCCCATGGGTCTCCCTCCTCCCCCCTCCCCCGTGGGTCTCCCTCCTCCCCCCTCCCCCGTGGTCCTCCTCCCTCCCCCATGGGCCTCCCTCCTCCCCCCTCCCCCGTGGTCCTCCCTCCCTCTTCCTCTGTGCCTCCTCCCTACCCCCCCTGTGTGCCTCCCTCCTCCCTCCTCCCCTGTGGGCCTCCCTCCTCTCTCACCTCTAGGCCTCCCTCCTCCCCCTCCCCTGAGGCTTGGTGCAGGGGGAGAGAGGGGATAGGAACAAGGGGTCGGAGAGTAGCTGACAGAACCACTGAAGACAGAGCGGATGGTGGGGCTTGTCTGCACCCCTTCAGGCCCCCGACCCCCCGGGGGAGACGCCGAGAGCCGGGCCTGGGGCAGGGCGGTGACACAGCTGCTCCTGGACAGCAGAGGGCGTAGGTGGGCAGTCTGGCCGGCCGCTCCTGCCGGAAGCTCCTCACCATCAGGAGAGCACTTTGCCTCGGCCGGTGGCACAGTGGTTAGAGCTTCAGCCTGCACACCAGGGTGCGCGGGTTTGTCCCCGGCCCCGGTGGGGGCGTGTGCAGGAGGCAGCCCATCATGTGTCTCAGACGCATCAGTGTTCTTTTCCCTCCCTCCCCCCAACCCCCGTCCCTTCAACTCTGCCTAAAATCAGAGGCCAGTGTCCGCAGGTGAGAGTTAAAAAGCACAACAGGAACAGGTTTAGGGCACATCTCCCTCACCCCCCACCTGTGGGCCCTCAGCCAGGCGGGTAACCCTCAGGCCTCCCGCCCTCCCCTGCCGCTCCATACACGGTCCTCCCGGGTCCGAAGTGAGTATGGAGCCCAGGAGGTCACCCCTGAGGCTGCCGAGCCAGGGGAGCGCCAAGCGTCTCCTCCAGCCTTAGAGGGGAAACTGAGGCAGGCGCGTCTGGGGACCTGGCCCAGGTCCCACTGCGCTGGTGGGACCCGGGACTCGGGCGGCAGTGACCAGAGGGGCCCCCAGGGCACGGCGGTCATGTTCAGACCAGGCCCGTGCTGATGGCATGGGCATAGAAGGCGGGGAGCCCTGCCCCCTGCAGGCAGGGTGGGGGGACGCAGGCTGCCCCCTGCAGGCGAGGCGGGGGGACGCGGGCTGCCCCCTGCAGGCGGGGCGGAGGGACGCGGGCTGCCCCCTGCAGGCGGGGCGGGGGAGCGCGGGCTGCCCCCTGCAGGCGGGGCGGGGGAACGCGGGCTGCCCCCTGCAGGCGGGGCGGAGGGACGTGGGCTGCCCCCTGCAGGCGGGGCGGGGGAACGCGGGCTGCCCCCTGCAGGTGGGGCGGGGGAACGCGGGCTGCCCCCTGCAGGCGGGGCGGAGGGACGTGGGGAGCTCTGCCCCCTGCAGGCGGGGCGGAGGGACCCGGGCTGGCCCCCTGCAGGCAGAGCGGGGGAACGCGGGCTGCCCCCTGCAGGCGGGGCGGAGGGACGTGGGCTGCCCCCTGCAGGCGGGGCGGGGGAACGCGGGCTGCCCCCTGCAGGCGGGGCGGGGGAACGCGGGCTGCCCCCTGCAGGCGGGGCGGAGGGACGTGGGGAGCTCTGCCCCCTGCAGGCGGGGCGGAGGGACCCGGGCTGCCCCCTGCAGGCAGAGCGGGGGAACGCGGGCTGCCCCCTGCAGGCGGGGCGGAGGGACGTGGGCTGCCCCCTGCAGGCGGGGCGGAGGGACGCGGGCTGCCCCCTGCAGGCGGGGCGGGGGAGCTCGGGCTGCCCCGGCCGCCCCTACCCCGTCTCCCGCCTGACGTGTGCTGCGCTGATGTTCCAGACGCCGGAGCCCAGGCTGGAGGAGGGGCCCAAGAAGCCGTCCTACGTGGAGGCGGAGAGCGAGCACTCGGCCCTGCTGGCGGCCATCCGGGGCCACCGCGGCGCCTGCAGCCTGCGCAAGGTGAGGCCGCCGCCCGGCGTGGCTCCCGGCGTGGCTCCCGGCGGCACGGGGCCCGGTGGGGCCGCCCGTGAAGGCAACACCGGGCTTTCCCATGTGGACGCCCCGCCGGACCAGCCGAGGGCGGTCCCTGCAGGGGAGGCGTTTCCCAGGTCCCTGGAGGGGCCTCCTGGTTCCAGGGCCTCCCCCGAGGCAGCCCCTCGGCTGGTCTGACCAGCCCTGGGCCAGCGGGGACCTGAGTTCCAGGACCCACAGCCAGCACCCAGGCAGTGAGACAGGTCCTCCCGGCACCGGGTCCCGTTGGCACCGGCGGCCCCGGGCCTGGCCCTGCCAGACAGACGGGCAGGCAGACAGACAGACGGTCTCCGTGGGCCAGCGGGGCTCCGGTGGGGAAGACCCAGCGCGCCGCCCCGGAAGGACCCGGCACGCGCCCTCTCGCCGTCTCCCCGCAGGTGGCGTCCTGTGCCTCCGAGGAGCTCCGGGGCTTCCGCGAGGCGGCCACGGCCACGGCCACGGCCACGGCCACGGCCACGGCGCCCGTCAGAGCCCCCGGCAGCCAGCCCGCCCCCGCCCCCGCCCCGCCGCCCCCGCCCGCTCCGGCTGCCCCGGCTGCTCCGCCCACCGCCAGGACCGCGCCCAGGGCCGGCGCCGGCGCCCTCGGCTCCCCGGTGGACGCCAGGCAGGCCTTGATGGACGCCATCCGCTCGGGCACCGGGGCGGCCAGGCTGAGGAAGGTGATGTGGGCTGTGTGAGCCGGGCGGGGTATGGGCAGGGGAGGGGGTCTGCCCCAGGGCGTGAGCGGGTGTGAAAGGGCAGAGGCTGCGGGGCTGACCCCGGGCCACCGTGCAGGTGCCAACGGGAGTACCACGTGGGCCCAAAGCTGGGAAACACGCGTGGACGTGTCTTTGAAGAGCACATGAGCGCCATCTGCAAAGAGCAGGCTCCGTGCATTCTCCTTCAAACTCTAGACATGCCCATTGGTCAGACGCCTTAGCACACCCCAGGCGCATCCCGCCAGCACTTGTCCTTGGTTGACTTGTTGACGGTAGCCATTCTGACAGGTGTGAGGTGGGACGCATTGTCGTTCTGATTGCATCTCTCGGATGACCGCTGGCTTTGAGCAGCGTTTCACGTGTCTCTGGGCCTCTGTGTGTCCTCTCTGGAGGAGGGTCTGTTTGGGTCCTGTGCCCGTTTTTCAGCTGGATCGTGTGTCTTCCTCTGGTTCAGTGGTGTGAGTTCCTTACAGGTTTTGGAGATTAACCATTTACCGGATGTGTCATTGCCACCCACGTACTCCGCCTTTGCCCCCAGAATTCTGCAAATCCCTGTGTGCTGCCGGGGCCACGCCCACACGGCCTAGCCAAGAGGGCCTGAGCTCCCAATGGCAGTGCAGCCAGGGGTCCCAGGGGGAGGGGGAGGGGTGAGGACCCTCGGGTGCGCTGTCGAGGGGCGGGGTGTGCAGACACATCACCTCGCCTTGGCCCTGCGTGCCCCGGCGAGGCCCCGGAGGCGTGTGAGCGCGTGTGGGTGTCTGCGTGTCCTCCTCACGCCGTGAGAGACGGGGATGCGCGTGGAGTCAGTCAGCGAGTGGACGAGCACCCTGGGGAGACGGGCCTGCCCGCTCCTGGGTGCCGGACGCCGGCCCCTGGCGCCTGCGGCCTGGGTGACGGTCTCTCTCCCTGCAGGTGCCCTTGCTCGTGTGAGCCGGCCGCGCACCCGCACCGGGACCCGGGCAGAGGCCCAGCAGCCACGCGCGAGGGGCCGGGACGCTCCTGCCGCCCGCCCGCCGGCTCCCCGGGAGGGCGCGGCCCATGGGCGCCCGTGCCAAGGAGATGCACCGTCTGCCTCTGAGTGTTCTCGTTGCCAATAAACGCTCCCCGTGGGCAGGTGCTGGGAGCCCTCCCGACACGTGATTACCGCGTCAACGGCGCTGGGAGCATCACGCCGGCTGCTCAGGGCTTTCCCCGCGCACCGGCCACGGCCACGGCCACGGCCACGGCCACGGCGCCCGTCAGAGCCTCCCGCCGCTGAACGCCGGCTCCCGGGTCTGGGAGAGGAAGCTCCTGTCTGAGGCCTCCCCCAGGTGCGGACCTCACGGAGGGCGGCCGGCCGCCAAGGTCCAAACACCGAGACGCCCGGAGAGCCAGGTGTGAGGAGGCGGCTGCGAGGCCTGCGATGCGGGGGCTGAGGGCCCCGGCCGGCCCTGCGCGGGCTGTGAAGTGGCCGGGACCCCCCCGGAGGCCGAGCACGGAGCCTGCGGGGCCGGAGCTGGGTGCCCCGGCCAGGATGGGCCTCCGGTGGCTGGTGCCCGTGACCCCTGCCCGGCCCGCCTCGCCCGCAGGCCCCTCTCCCCGGCACCACGCGGCAGCCCCCGGCAGCCCGCCGGTCCCCGTGTCCATAGCAGCACACAGCCACGGCGAGTTCTCACGCCGCCCCCTCCCCGCGTGTCAGGCAGACGGGAGGAGCTGGGGGAGCTGTGCTCGGGGGTGCCGAGTGTCGGGGACCCTGTCAGAGCCTGGGGGGCCCTCACCGTCCCCGGGGGCTCCCGGCCGCCCTGTCCCGGACATGTGTCTCTTGGTGCCACAATAAAAGTTCTGGAACTGGTGCTGCCAGGTGGGTCTCCACAGCCTGTCCCCGAGCACAGGGACCCCATGCCCGTCCGTGAGTGTGTGTGTGAGTGTGTGTGAGTGTGTGTGTGTGTGTGTGAGTGTGTGTGAGAGTGTGTGTGTGAGTGTGTGTGAGTGTGTTGTGTGTGTGAGTGTGTGTGTGTGTGAGTGTGTGTGGGTGTGTGTGAGTGTGTGTGTGTGTGTGAGTGTGTGTGTGTGTGTGTGAGTGTGTGTGTGAGTGTGTGTGTGTGTGAGTGAGTGTGTGAGTGTGTGTGTGTCTGTGTGAGTGTGTGTGTGAGTGTGTGTGTGTGAGTGTGTGTTGTGTGTGTGAGTGGTGTGTGTGTTTTGTGAGTGTGTGTGTGAGTGTGTGTGTGGTGTGTGTGAGTGTGTGTGAGTGTGTGTGTGTGTGAGATTGTGTGTGTGTGTGTGTGTGTGTGTGTATGTGTGTGTGTGTGTGTATGTATGTGTGTGTGGTGTGGGGTGTGTGTGTGTGTGTGTCTGTGTGAGTGTGGTGTGTGTGTGTGTGTGTGTGTGAGTGTGGTGTGTGTGAGTGTGTGTGTGGTGTGTGTGTGTGTGTGTGTGTGTGTGTGTGTCTGTGTGTGTGTGTGTGTGTGTGTGTGTGTTGTGTGTGAGTGTGTGGGTGTGTGTGTGTGTGTGTGTGTGTGTGTGTCTGTGTGTATGAGTGTGTGTGTGAGTGTGTGAGTATGTGAGTGTGTGTGGGGGGGAGAGTGTGTGTGTGTGTATGTGTGTGTGAGTGTGTGAGTGTGTGTGTGTGTATGTGTGTGTGAGAGTGTGTGTGTGTGTGTGTGTGTGCGCCCCCCACGCCGATGAGCCCCAAATCTGGCTCCTCCCAATCACAGCCCCGCAGCGACATTGCTCACAAGGAAGCTTGCCATCTCAGGAGGCTGCGGCCGGAAGCTTTGCTTTTCGCCCCCATGTTTTTCATTGATTTCAACAGAGAAATGGAGAGAAGAGAGCGAGAGAGACATCGGTGTGAGAGCAAAGCACCGACCACTTGCCCCCAGCGCACACCCCGGCCTGCCCGAAGCACATGGGCATGCCAACCACTGAGCCACACCGCCAGGGCCCAAAGCATGTTGAATGTTGTCATCCCTGTCCTCCCAGCCCTGCAGCCGCCCTCCCCCAGCACATGATCCTCAGTGCTCATGGCCACTGGGTGAGCAGTGCCAGGCTGCACAGGCTCCTGGGAGTCAGGACACGCAGTGGGCAGCAGGCGAGGCTTCGTCTAGCTGGCGCCTTCCCAGGTGCAGCAGCCATGGGCTCCCCGCCCCGGTCACACACACTCACACACACACACTCACACACACTCACACACACACACTCACACTCACACACACTCACACACACATACACTCACACACACACTCACACACACACACATACTCTCTCACACACACACTCACACACACTCACACACACACACACACACACACACACTCACACACTCTCTCACACACACTCACACACACACACACACACTCTCACACACACACTCACACACTCTCTCACACACACTCACACACACATACACACACACACACTCACACACACACTCACACACACACACATACTCTCTCACACACACACTCACACACACACACATACTCTCTCACACACACACACTCACACACACACACTCACACACACTCTCTCACGCTCACACACACACACACTCACACACTCTCACACACACACACACACACTCACACACTCTCTCACACACACACTCACACACTCTCACACACACACACACACACACACACTCACACACTCTCTCACACACACTCACACACACACACACACACTCTCACACACACACTCACACACTCTCTCACACACACTCACACACACATACACACACACACTCACACACACACTCACACACACATACTCTCTCACACACACACTCACACACACTCACACACACACACACACACACACTCACACACTCTCTCACACACACATACTCTCTCACACACACACTCACACACACACTCACTCTCTCACACACACTCACACACACATACACACACACACACTCACACACACACTCACACACACACACATACTCTCTCACACACACACTCACACACACATACTCTCTCACACACACACACTCACACACACACACTCACACACACACTCACACACACACTCTCTCACGCTCACACACACACACACACACACTCACACACACACACACACACACTCACACACACACACACACACACTCACACACATACACCCGCACCGCCCAGCTCCAGGCGGGCGCGCTGATGTCCCGCTGTTTGCTCACTGTCTGCGGCCTGTGGGAGCCGGCACCTGCCCGGCTGCCCCCGCGCTCGCGGTGCCTGGCACCGGAGCGCCCGCTGTTTGCTGGACAAACACGTGGAGCAGCGCCCAGCACCTCCCGCCAGGCCCGGAGCCCGCGGGCACCCATCACCTCCCCCGGGGGCCGTCCTGCCCGGCAACCGCAGGAGGCCCGCCCCCGCACCTGGGCACGCTCAGGCCCCGGGAGGAGCCGGGAGGAGCCGGGAGGAGCCGGGAGGAGCCGGGGAGGGCTGCCAGGCAGAGCGGCCCTGCCCCACGCCCGCTGCGCTGCCCGCGCTGGGCCCGTCCTGCCGCATGGTTAGCCCGGGACCAGGAGCAAAGCACCCACCGGAGGAGGGTGGGGCCCAGGGATCCTGTGAAGTGTTTTCTTTAGAAATGGAAACTTTCCCGGCCAGTGTGGCTCAGTGAGAGAGCGCCGGCCGGCGGACTAACGGGTCCCGGGTTCGATTCCGGTCCAGGGCACGTACCTCTTTCCGGCCCGGGCCTTGTTTGGACGTGTCTCTCTCACATGGATGTTTCTCTCTTCTCTCCCTCTCTTCGACTCTCCATAAAAATCAATGGGAAAATATCCTGAGCGAGGATTAAAAAACAATAATAATAGCCGAAACCAGTTTGGCTCAGTGGATAGAGCGTCAGCCTGCAGACTGAAGAGTCCCCGGTTCAATTTGGTTGCAGTAGGGGGTGTGCAAGAGGCAGCTGATCGACTGTTTCTATCTCCCTCTCTGTAAAAAAATCAATAAAGTATATATAAATAAAAAAGATTTTAAAAATAATAATAGTAAAATGAAATGGCAGATTCAGATGCCCTGAATGTGTGTGTGTGTGTGTGTGTGTGTGTGTGTGTCCATGGTCAGACTCTGCCCAGGACCCCTGTGAGTTCACTTCGCTGTGGGAGACGTCTCGACGAGGCGGGCGTGGCTGAGGCCCACGAGGCAGCAAGGCACGTGGGCTCAGCACCGTCTGTGACTTCTCTCTCTGAATCCGCGGGGGCATGGCGGCGGTCCCTGTGGACACAGCGTCCAGCACTGACCCCTGCAGGCGCCGGCCAGCCGCCTGGGCCAGCGCTTCCCGCCAGACCTCCCAGGCCTGGCCAGATCCCAGAGCCACGTGGGGGACCCCCGCGCGGCTGGCCAGCGGGTAAGGGCTCCCGCCGCCCGGCCAGCCTGCCCGCCCGCTGAGCACAGCTTCCGCCTCCAGGCATCAGCTCCCATCCGGCCTGGCCCTCTGCAGCCTGAAGACTCCAGACAGACAATGAGAGTGTCCGCAGCCCGGCCACCGGGAGGCGCCGCCTGTGCCTGTGCCTGTGCCAGTGCCCGGCATGGACCGTGTGCTCGGGGCAGGAGTCAGCCCTGCTGCCCGAGAGCTGGGCGCGGGGGCTCCCCGCTCCGCAGCCGGGGAGGGTGAGTGCTCACGAGGACAGCGTGGACCGGCGGTGCTGGGAGACCCCGTGGTTTTGGGGGTGACTCCCAGACAACGCCACGGGATGGGGTGGCTGTGACGTCACAGAGGAGGTACCCAGGAGCAGGGTGACCGGCTCTCAAATTCACGGTACAGCCGAAACCAGTGTGGCTCAGTGGATAGAGCGTCGGCCTGAGGACTGAAGGGTTCCAGGTTCGATTCTGGTCAAGGGCATGTACCTGGGTTGCAGGCACATCCCCAGTAGGTGGCGTGCAAGAGGCAGCTGATGGATGACTCTCTCATCGATGTTTCTAATTCTCTCTCTTTCTCCCTTCCTCTCTGTGAAAAATCAATAAAATATGTTTAACAAAAAGTTCGCGGCTCAGGGAAGGCTGTCTGACACGCCTCCTCCCCTCGGGGCCACGACGTGGCCCTGGGATCTGAAGCCACGCCGTGTCCGTGAGGCGGGTGGGCCGTTCTCATCGGGGAGACGAGGACGCTGGAGGGACGGGCGAGGGGCAGCTGAGCGGAGG